CTCCAGCAGGCCACAAATGTGCATGTGTTTGCTCAAACGGTCAGAAACAGACTCCATGAGGGTGGTATGAGGGCCCGACGTCCACAGGTGGGGGTTGTGCTTACAGCCCAACACCGTGCAGGACGTTTGGCATTTGCCAGAGAACACCAAGATTGGCAAATTTGCAACTGGCGCCCTGTGCTCTTCACAGACGTGACAGAGTCTGGAGACGCTGTGGAGAACGTTCTGCTGCCTGCAACATCCTCCAGCATGACCGGTTTGGCGGTGGGTCAGTCATGGTGTGGGGTGGCATTTCTTTGGGGGGCCGCACAGCCCTCCATGTGCTCGCCAGAGGTAGCCTGACTGCCATTAGGTACCGAGATGAGATCTTCAGACCCCTTGTGAGACCATATGCTGGTGCGGTTGGCCCTGGGTTCCTAATGCAAGACAATGCTAGACCTCATGTGGCTGGAGTGTGTCAGCAGTTCCTGCAAGAGGAAGGCATTGATGCTATGGACTGGCCCGCCCATTCCCCAGACCTGAATCCAATTGAGCACATCTGGGACATCATGTCTCGCTCCATCCACCAAAGACACGTTGCACCACAGACTGTCCAGGAGTTGGCGGATGCTTTAGTCCAGGTCTGGGAGGAGATCCCTCAGGAGACCATCCACCACCTCATCAGGAGCATGCCCAGGCATTGTAGGGAGGTCATACAGGCACGTGGAGGCCACACACACTACTGAGCCTCATTTTGACTTGTTTTAAGGACATTACATCAAAGTTGGATCAGCCTGTAGTGTGGTTTTCCACTTTAATTTGACTCCAAATCCAGACCTCCATGGGTTGATAAATTTGATTTCCATTGATAATTTTTGTGTGATTTTGTTGTCAGCACATTCAACTATGTAAAGAAAAAAGTATTTAATGAGATTATTTCATTCATTCAGATCTAGGATGTGTTATTTTAGTGTTCCCTTAATTTTTTTGAGCAGTGTATATTATAGTATGTGAAGGTAGTAGTAGTAGTAGTAGTAGTAGTAGTAGTAGTAGTAGTAGTAGTAGTAACTCTTGAAGTACGGGTTAATGAACAGTATCTGTCTGTAGCCCTGGGTTAATGAACAGTATCTGTCTGTAGCCCTGGGTTAATGAACAGTATCTGTCTGTAGCCCTGGGTTAATGAACAGTATCTGTCTGTAGCCCTGGGTTAATGTACAGTATCTGTCTATAGCCCTGGGTTAATGAACAGTATCTGTCTGTAGCCCTGGGTTAATGAACAGTATCTGTCTATAGCCCTGGGTTAATGAACAGTATCTGTCTATAGCCCTGGGTTAATGAACAGTATCTACAGTATATCTACAGTATTTACAAAATAGCCTCCAACACTCTACTCAGCAAATTGGATGTAGTCTATCACAGTGCCATCCGTTTTGTCTCCAAAGCCCCATACACTACCCACCACTGTGACCTGTACGCTCTTGTTGGCTGGTCCTCACTACATGTTCGTCGTCAAACCCACTGGCTCCAGGCCATCTATAAATCACTGCTAGGCAAATCCCCGCCTTATCTTAGCTCATTGGTCACCATAGCAACACCCACCCGTAGTCTGCGCTCCAGCGGGTATATCTCACTGGTCATCCCCAAAGCCAACACCTCCTTTGGCCGCCATTCCTTCCAGTTCTCTGCTGCCAATGACTGGAACAAATTGCAAAAATCTCTGAAGCTGGAGACTCTTATCTCCCTCACTAACTTTAAGCATCAGTTGTCAGAGCACCTTACCGATCACTGCACCTGTACACAGCCCATCTGAAATTAGCCCGCCCAACTACCTCATCCCTATATTGTTATTTATTTTGCTCATTTGTACCCCAGTATCTCTATTTGCACATCATCTCTTGCACATCTATCATTCCAGTGTTAATACTAATTGTAATTATTTTGCACTATAGCCTATTTTATTGCCTTACCTCCATAACTTGCTAAATTTGCACACACTGTATATTATATGTATTTCTGTTGTATTTTTGACTTTGTTTTGTTTTACCCCATATGTAACTCTGTGTTGTTGTTTTTATCGCACTGCTTTGCTTTATCTTGGCCAGGTCGCAGTTGTAAATGAGAACTTGTTCTCAACTAGTTTACCTGGTTAAATAAAGGTGAAATAAAAAATAAAAAAATAAAAAAAATCTGTCTATAGCCCTGGGTTTGGGCTATAGGAGGGGGTTTGGGCTATATGAGGGGGTTTGGGCTATAGGAGGGGGTTTGGGCTATAGGAGGGGGTTTGGGCTATATGAGGGGGTTTGGGCTATAGGAGGGGGTTTGGGCTATATGAGGGGGTTTGGGCTATATGAGGGGGTTTGGGCTATAGGAGGGGGTTTGGGCTATAGGAGGGGGTTTGGGCTATAGGAGGGGGTTTGGGCTATAGGAGGGGGTTTGGGCTATAGGAGGGGGTTTGGGCTATATGAGGGGGTTTGGGCTATATGAGGGGGTTTGGGCTATAGGAGGGGGTTTGGGCTATAGGAGGGGGTTTGGGCTATAGGAGGGGGTTTGGGCTATAGGAGGGGGTTTGGGCTATAGGAGGGGGTTTGGGCTATATGAGGGGGTTTGGGCTATATGAGGGGGTTTGGGCTATAGGAGGGGGTTTGGGCTATAGGAGGGGGTTTGGGCTATATGAGGGGGTTTGGGCTATAGGAGGGGGTTTAGGCTATAGGAGGGTACTGATGGGTTTCCTCAGAATGTCAGCAACAACAGTATTGGCAGGCGTTATAGGCAGGCCTTAGGGGGCCTGGCGCGACCTACCGTACCTCCTTGCCCGTCCAAATAAAATATTGAAATATTGATCATTTATTTGACCGAGACGCGCGCCGACAGAAAGACTCACCAATCTCAGATAAAACATCTAAGCAACAAACAGCACCTCTCTCTGTATGTGTAGACCATGTATCTGATGCTGTGTGGACAGTGAAACAGCACATTTACATTTACATTTACATTTTAGTCATTTAGCAGACGCTCTTATCCAGAGCGACTTACAGTTAGTGAATACATTTTTTTTATACTGGCCCCACCTCTCTCTGTATGTGTAGACCATGTATCTGATGCTGTGTGGACAGTGAAACAGCACCTCTCTCTCTCTCTCTCTGTATGTGTAGACCATGTATCTGATGCTGTGTGGACAGTGAAACAGCACCTCTCTCTCTCTGTATGTGTAGACCATGTATCTGATGCTGTGTGGACAGTGAAACAGCACCTCTCTCTGTATGTGTAGACCATGTATCTGATGCTGTGTGGACAGTGAAACAGCACCTCTCTCTCTCTCTCTCTCTCTGTATGTGTAGACCATGTATCTGATGCTGTGTGGACAGTGAAACAGCGCCCCTCTGTCTCAGTATGTGTAGACCATGTATCTGATGCTGTGTGGACAGATAGAGTATGGCATGTCAGTTCCATGGGTTACATACAGTAAGACAGACGGGTGCTGTTTCGCTGCTCGGATGCTTTCTCCGGTCAGATAGTTTCAGCCATTGTTCGGATGCTAGAATTATTTTGGACCAAAGTGCGAAGCGAAACTACTTTTTTAAGGGATTTGTTTGACAATCAGATGAAAACAACATAACTGGTTGTGTTCATGTCACATTAAAAGCTAATATAACATAGGTTATTTGTGACGAGCTTCCTATTGGTTGATTCTGATACCTCCCAAGTGGGAAACTCGGGATCCGACTCTTGCGCCTAGGTTAGCAAGTCAGACGTTTCCCAGTTCCGACTAGCACATGAACGTGGCATCAGCACACCTTCAACTCAGTGCAGAGGGCAACATGTTAATATGTGACCCTAGAAAGTTTAAGGACGTTAAATTGAACCATTTGGGCTATATGAGGGTACTATTGGGTTCCCTTAGAATGGGGTCAGACGGGCAGGGTAACACTGCTGTTGGCACAAAGCGTACGAACGTCTCTGCAAGATATTCTGTTACAAATAAACACTGCCTAGTTGTTTTACGAATAGTTAATTATATAACTAAATATGCTTTATTTTTCATTGTAATCAATCAATTTCAACAAACTGGCTTGTTGTGGTTGTTATATTTTACATTAATGTGAATATGTCTGCGACCCAAATGGTCCCTGGTCAATAGTAGTGCACTATATAGGGAATAGGGTCAATAGTAGTGCACTATATAGAGAATAGGGTCAATAGTAGTGCACTATATAGAGAATAGGGTCAATAGTAGTGCACTACATAGGGAATAGGGTCAATAGTAATGCACTACATAGGGAATAGGGTCAATAGTAGTGCACTACATAGGGAATAGGGTCAATAGTAGTGCACTACATAGGGAATAGGGTCAATAGTAATGCACTACATAGAGAATAGGGTCAATAGTAATGCACTACATAGGGAATAGGGTCAATAGTAGTGCACTACATAGAGAATAGGGTATCATTTGGGACAGATGGTTAAAGTGCATCCAGGGTTAATATTATTCTGAAGAAACACATTAAACATTACATTTTCATTCAAAAAAATGTTTTACTTGTTTTACTTGGTTCAATAACTAAAAGTCGAATATATCCGCTTTTTCTTCAGTCTGAAATGCACAAAAACGTTCAGTAATAGTTGTATTTAATGTCCTCTAGTCCCATAGACACCAGGAGGGTTTCTGAAAGAGTTTAAGATGTTGTTGTTTGTCATCTAATATGAAACAAAAAGGTCCTTCATAGATCGTGTTTTACAACCGTAACAGTCAATTTATTTGTCCTTCATAGATCATGTTTTACAACCGTAACATTCAACGTTTATTTTTGTGTCCTACAAATATCAAACCCCCCCAGTGAGTCAAAGCTCTGCCATCCACCAGGCCGCCGGGGGGGGGCACAAGGGACTGCGGTCTGTTGGACACATCTGTGAGTCCCAAATGGCACCCTATTCCCTATATAGTGCACTACTTTTGACCAGAGCCCTGGACTGTCTTAGGTTGTCATAGGCCCTGGGCCCTGGTCAAAGGTAGTGCACTACATAGGGAATAGGGTGCCATTTGGGTCTCAACCCTAAGAATGCCTTTCAAGCGACATAAGACCCTGGGCAGCAACCTAAGACATGGTCTCAGCAACCTAAGCCCCTCTCAGATCTTCAGATCGTCTATTCTGGTCTTGTTGCCGTGTTTAGCAGCGTGGTGTCCAGCCCGGGGTAGAGATGGTGAACCTGGCTCCGACCCCCCGCACGTTCCTCCTCCTTTCTTCCCTTTCAGGTGGTCCGGCTGGCTGCCGACGCTCCTCTCCACCGACAGGTTGTCCCTGTTCTGCTTGTTGTGGTAGGGCTGGTAGGTGGAGTCCGTCTCCTCGGATAGAGGGGACATGTTATAGCTGGGGACAGGAGGGTATGCTGGCTGGACCTGGTAGGCTGGCTGGGCCCCGTGGTAGGGGTCGTAGCTGGGAGTGTAGGGCAAGGCCTCCTCCGCCTCGCTGGGCTCCTTGGAGTCTGAGCTCAGATCCTCCCGGTGGTACTTGATACCCTGGCGACACTTAGTGGACCCCAGGTGGTACATCTCTATCAGGTTGAGGAACAGAGACAGACTGGCCACTCCTAGCATGAAGATGATGAAGATAGTTTTCTCTGTGGGTCGGGAGATGTAGCAGTTGACTGTGTTGGGGCAGGGCGAGCGGTCGCAGGTGTACATGGGCTGCAGGTGGAAGCCATAGAGTAGGTACTGCATGACGAGGAAGCCCACCTCGAACAGCGTCTTGAAGATGATGTTGAACACGTAGGTCCTCAGTAGTTCCCCCTTCAGTCGAACCCTACCCCTGTCGTCCCTCACCGGGGCCTTACAGGCGTTGCTCTCCGACAGGGGGGGTTTGTCCCCGGCCCGCTCTGCGTCCTTCTCTCTCTGCTTCTGTTTCTCCTCCATCCTCACCAGGTGTAATATATGACCCAGGTAAATGAGGGTGGGAGTGGAGACAAAGATGATCTGGAGGACCCAGAAGCGGACGTGAGAGATGGGGAAGGTGTAGTCATAACAGACGTTCTCACATCCAGGCTGCTTGGTGTCGCAGGTGAACCCTGACTGCTCGTCCCCCCACACCTATCAGGACCACAATGGAAATAACAAGTTGCATTCTTTACATTCAAATACATTTTAGTGTGTGTATTGTTGGACTCCAATGGCTGAGGCAACTGTAAATGTATTTTAAAAAGTGTCAAATGAATTGAATTTCTTCACCTTCTCTGCTGCGGCGCTCAGGACAAGGATCCGGAAGATGAAGAGGACAGTGAGCCAGACCTTCCCCACTACGGTGCTGTGTTCCTGGGCTTTCTCCAACAACTTCCCCAACAGGTTCCAGTCACCCATGGTAGTAGCAGATTACTGTGGCTGTGGGGAGGGAGAGCAGGGGGGACTAGTTACTACACTGACAGGCGGTTCCAGGAGAGATACTAGACTAGTTAATGTGTCTGGAGGAGAGAGAGACTAGTTAAAACACTGACAGCCGGTTCCAGGAGAGATACTAGACTAGTTAATGTGTCTGGAGGAGAGAGAGACTAGTTAATGTGTCTGGAGGAGAGAGAGACTAGTTAATGTGTCTGGAGGAGAGAGACTAGTTAATGTGTCTGGAGGGGAGAGAGACTAGTTAATGTGTCTGGAGGGGAGAGACTAGTTAATGTGTCTGGAGGGGAGAGAGACTAGTTAATGTGTCTGGAGGAGAGAGAGACTAGTTAATGTGTCTGGAGGAGAGAGAGACTAGTTAATGTGTCTGGAGGAGAGATACTAGTTAATGTGTCTGGAGGAGAGAGAGACTAGTTAATGTGTCTGGAGGAGAGAGAGACTAGTTAATGTGTCTGGAGGAGAGAGACTAGTTAATGTGTCTGGAGGAGAGAGACTAGTTAATGTGTATGGAGGAGAGAGACTAGTTAATGTGTCTGGAGGAGAGCGAGACTAGTTAATGTGTCTGGAGGAGAGAGAGACTAGTTAATGTGTCTGGAAGAGAGGGACTAGTTAATGTGTCTGGAGGAGAGATACTAGTTCATGTGTCTGGAGGAGAGAGAGACTAGTTAATGTGTCTGGAGGAGAGAGAGACTAGTTAATGTGTGTGGAGGAGAGAGACTAGTTAATGTGTCTGGAGGAGAGAGAGACTAGTTAATGTGTCTTTAGGAGAGAGACTAGTTAATGTGTGTGGAGGAGAGAGACTAGTTGATGTGTCTGGAGGAGAGCGAGACTAGTTAATGTGTCTGGAGGAGAGAGAGACTAGTTAATGTGTCTGGAGGAGAGAGACTAGTTAATGTGTCTGGAGGAGAGAGAGACTAGTTAATGTGTCTGGAGGAGAGAGACTAGTTAATGTGTCTGGAGGAGAGAGAGACTAGTTAATGTGTCTGGAGGAGAGAGAGACTAGTTAATGTGTCTGGAGGAGAGAGAGACTAGTTAATGTGTCTGGAGGAGAGCGAGACTAGTTAATGTGTCTGTAGGAGAGAGAGACTAGTTAATGTGTCTGGAGGAGAGAGACTAGTTAATGTGTATGGAGGAGAGAGAGACTAGTTAATGTGTCTTTAGGAGAGAGACTAGTTAATGTGTGTGGAGGAGAGAGACTAGTTAATGTGTCTGGAGGAGAGCGAGACTAGTTAATGTGTCTGGAGGAGAGAGAGACTAGTTAATGTGTCTGGAGGAGAGAGAGACTAGTTAATGTGTCTGGAGGAGAGAGACTAGTTAATGTGTCTGGAGGAGAGAGAGACTAGTTAATGTGTCTGGAGGAGAGAGAGACTAGTTAATGTGTCTGGAGGAGAGAGAGACTAGTTAATGTGTCTGGAGGAGAGAGAGACTAGACTAGTTAATGTGTCTGGAGGAGAGAGAGACTAGTTAATGTGTCTGGAGGAGAGAGAGACTAGTTAATGTGTCTGGAGGAGAGAGAGAGACTAGTTAATGTGTCTGGAGGAGAGAGAGACTAGTTAATGTGTCTGGAGGAGAGAGAGAGACTAGTTAATGTGTCTGGAGGAGAGAGACTAGATAATGTGTGTGGAGGAGAGAGACTAGTTAATGTGTCTGGAGGAGAGAGACTAGTTAATGTGTCTGGAAGAGATGGACTAGTTAATATGTCTGGAGGAGAGAGAGACTAGTTAATGTGTCTGGAGGAGAGAGACTAGTTACTGTGTCAGGAGGAGGGAGACTAGTTAATGTGTCTGGAGGGGAGAGAGACTAGTTAATGTGTCTGGAGGGGAGAGACTAGTTAATGTGTCTGGAGGGGAGAGAGACTAGTTAATGTGTCTGGAGGAGAGAGAGACTAGACTAGTTAATGTGTCTGGAGGAGAGAGACTAGATAATGTGTCTGGAGGAGAGAGAGACTAGACTAGTTAATGTGTCTGGAGGAGAGAGACTAGTTAATGTGTCTGGAGGAGAGAGAGACTAGTTAATGTGTCTGGAAGAGAGAGACTAGTTAATGTGTCTGGAGGGGAGAGACTAGTTTATGTGTCTGGAGGAGAGAGGGACTAGTTAATGTGTCTGGAGGAGAGAGAGACTAGTTAATGTGTCTGGAGGAGAGATAGACTAGTTAATGTGTCTGGAGGGGAGAGACTAGTTTATGTGTCTGGAGGAGAGAGGGACTAGTTAATGTGTCTGGAGGAGAGAGAGACTAGTTAATGTGTCTGGAGGAGAGATAGACTAGTTAATGTGTCTGGAGGAGAGAGAGACTAGTTAATGTGTCTGGAGGAGAGAGAGAGTAGTTAATGTGTCTGGAGGAGAGAGACTAGTTAATGTGTCTGGAGGGGAGAGACTAGTTTATGTGTCTGGAGGAGAGAGGGACTAGTTAATGTGTCTGGAGGAGAGAGAGACTAGTTAATGTGTCTGGAGGAGAGATAGACTAGTTAATGTGTCTGGAGGAGAGAGACTAGTTAATGTGTGTGGAGGAGAGAGAGACTAGTTCATGTGTCTGGAGGAGAGAGAGACTAGTTAATGTGTCTGGAGGAGAGAGAGACTAGTTAATGTGTCTGGAGGAGAAAGACTAGTTAATGTGTCTGGAAGAGAGAGATACTAGTTAATATGTCTGGAGGAGAGAGACTAGTTAATGTGTCTGGAGGAGAGAGAGACTAGTTAATGTGTCTGGACTAGAGAGAAACTAGTTAATGTGTCTGGAGGAGAGAGACTAGTTAATGTGTCTGAAGTAGAGAGAGAGACTAGTTAATGTGTCTGGAGGAGAGAGACTAGTTAATGTGTCTGGAGGAGAGAGACTAGTTAATGTGTCTGCAGGAGAGAGAGACTAGTTAATGTGTCTGGAGGAGAGAGACTAGTTAATGTGTTTGAAGGAGAGAGAGAGACTAGTTAATGTGTCTGGAGGAGAGAGACTAGTTAATGTGTCTGGAGGAGAGACTAGTTAATGTGTCTGGAGGAGAGAGACTAGTTAATGTGTTTGAAGGAGAGAGAGACTAGTTAATGTGTCTGGAGGAGAGAGACTAGTTAATGTGTTTGAAGGAGAGAGAGAGACTAGTTAATGTGTCTGGAGGAGAGAGAGACTAGTTAATGTGTCTGGAGGAGAGAGACTAGTTAATGTGTTTGAAGGAGAGAGAGAGACTACTTAATGTGTCTGGAGGAGAGAGACTAGTTAATGTGTCTGGAGGAGAGAGACTAGTTAATGTGTTTGAAGGAGAGAGAGAGACTAGTTAATGTGTCTGGAGGAGAGAGAGACTAGTTAATGTGTCTGGAGGAGAGAGACTAGTTAATGTGTTTGAAGGAGAGAGAGAGACTAGTTAATGTGTCTGGAGGAGAGAGACTAGTTAATGTGTCTGGAGGAGAGAGATGTGTTTGAAGGAGAGAGAGAGACTATTTAATGTGTCTGGAGGAGAGAGAGACTAGTTAATGTGTCTGGAGGAGAGAGACTAGTTAATGTGTCTGGAGGAGAGAGAGACTAGTTAATGTGTCTGGAGGAGAGAGACTAGTTAATGTGTCTGGAGGAGAGAGAGACTAGTTAATGTGTTTGAAGGAGAGAGAGAGACTAGTTAATGTGTCTGGAGGAGAGAGACTAGTTAATGTGTTTGAAGGAGAGAGAGAGACTAGTTAATGTGTCTGGAGGAGAGATAGACTAGTTCATGTGTCTGGAGGAGAGAGACTAGTTAATGTGTCTGGAGGAGAGAGACTAGTTAATGTGTTTGAAGGAGAGAGAGAGACTAGTTAATGTGTCTGGAGGAGAGAGAGACTAGTTAATGTGTCTGGAGGAGAGAGACTAGTTAATGTTTTTGAAGGAGAGAGAGGGACTAGTTAATGTGTCTGGAGGAGAGAGACTAGTTAATGTGTTTGAAGGAGAGAGAGAGACTAGTTAATGTGTCTGGAGGAGAGAGACTAGTTAATGTGTCTGGAGGAGAGAGACTAGTTAATGTGTCTGGAGGAGAGAGAGACTAGTTAATGTGTCTGGAGGAGAGAGACTAGTTAATGTTTTTGAAGGAGAGAGAGAGACTAGTTAATGTGTCTGGAGGAGAGAGACTAGTTAATGTGTCTGGAGGAGAGAGACTAGTTAATGTGTCTGGAGGAGAGAGACTAGTTAATGTGTCTGGAGGAGAGAGACTAGTTAATGTGTCTGGAGGAGAGAGACTAGTTAATGTGTCTGGAGGAGAGAGACTAGTTAATGTGTCTGGAGGAGAGAGACTAGTTAATGTGTCTGGAGGAGAGAGACTAGTTAATGTGTCTGGAGCATGATGGGATGTTAATTGCTTAATTAACTGAGGATCTTTTTACTTTGTCCCTCCTTTAGTGAAGTGTTCCCTTTATTTGTGGCTTTTAGCTCTATCTGACAGCTCTATGTAACCGTTGTTTTATTGTGTCTGTCCATATAAAAAAAAACTGTTACATAAATATGATGGCTGCCTTGTGTGAAAAGAGTGCAGGAGTCAACTGGCTTTCTATAGACTCACAACAGGAGGGCTAAGATCAGATGAGTATCACAAGCCGCAGTGTGTGTGTGTGTGTGTGTGTGTGTGTGTGTGTGTGTGTGTGTCTTCACACCTCTCACTACAGGGCAGGTAACGACACAGACAGGTTTATATTAGATTTAAGGATGGGGTATATTTGGGGAGTGTAGACAGGGGGACAGCAGGTTGCAGACAGAGAGAGGCATGTGTGTTTATCTAGAGACTAAAGCCTGTCTAACAGTCATTACAGACTGTAGGAATTAGACAGTGTTTAGTTACGTTTACATTTTAGTAATTTAGCAGACGCTCTTATCCAGAGAGACTTACAGTTAGTGAGTGCATACATTTTTCATACTGGCCCCCCGTGGGAATCGAACCCACAACCCTGGCGTTGCAAAGCGCCATGCTCTACCAACTGAGAGACTAAAACCTGTCTAACAGTCATTAGACAGCTAGTAGATAATATCCATTACTCAGTTTGGACTGTAATCAATAGGTCTAGCAGTGGAGTCAGTTGGTGAGATTGGGCTGCTACTGTACGGTGTGGGAAAGAGCACCGGTTAATGACCATATCCACTTCTGGAATACAACAATAACATGAATGACCATATCCACTTCTGGAATACAACAATAACATGAATGACCATATCCACTTCTGGAATACAACAATAACATGAATGACCATATCCACTTCTGGAATACAACAATATTAATGACCTGCATATTACTTTACAATACTGGGGTTCATTTGGAGTTCTCAAATCTTTAGGACACTGTATTAATCTTTAGGACACTGTATTAATCTTTAGGACACTGTATTAATCTTTAGGACACTGTATTAATCTTTAGGACACTGTATTAATCTTTAGGACACTGTATTAATCTTTAGGACACTGTATTAATCTTTAGGACACTGTATTAATCTTTAGGACACTGTATTAATCTTTAGGACACTGTATTAATCTTTAGGACACTTTATTAATCTTTAGGACACTGTATTAATCTTTAGGACACTGTATTAATCTTTAGGACACTGTATTAATCTTTAGGACACTGTATTAATCTTTAGGACACTTTATTAATCTTTAGGACACTGTATTAATCTTTAGGACACTGTATTAATCTTTAGGACACTGTATTAATCTTTAGGACACTGTATTAATCTTTAGGACACTGTATAAATCTTTAGGACACTGTATTAATCTTTAGGACACTGTATTAATTTAGATCTTAGAAGTTAATAATTTGGAGTAACAATTCCCCTCTCAAATAATGAGAATCTCTCAACACTTAAATAAATAAAATATATATTTCAGAATGATTCACAATATATTTCAGAATGATTCACAATATATTTCAGAATGATTCACAATATATTTCAGAATGATTCACAATATATTTCAGAATGATTCACAATATATTTCAAAGTGATTTTCATACTGTGTATATGGGAGGACTCTTACCAAGATATATGTTGTGTTTCTGTGTTACGGGGCCAAGTCCCCACCTTCACTTTAAGCTTTCCAACTACATGAGAGTGGAAGTCTGTAACAGAAAGTAGAATATGGAAGTACCTACCTTGTCAACCTACTGTCCCCAGAAGAGTAGCTCCCTGTGGGACTGAGACCATGTGGCTCCTCTCGTAGCCTCCCTCCTCCCCCGTCCCCCTCTCTCTTCAACCCAGTGGGCCCTCTGTGGCAGGCCGCTCCTCTCCGCTGTCTCTCCTCTCCTGTCCAGGTCCCAGCAGATGGAATGCCCTTGAATGGACAGGAAACACCAGACCAGCCCACCGCTGGCCACAAGGCCGTTCCACACTACGGGACACACCAACACACTCCTGTCTTCACTCCTCAGTCAGTCAAGGCTTCAACCGGGACCTAGAGTTCCTCTCCAACCCTCTCTCCCTTCCAACCAGCTGAACACTGCTACTACTGATACTGCTGCTAGCCTCTTCCTCCCGATCCCCTCAGGGTTACGTTTGGCCCAGGGCTGAGGGCGCTCTCTAATGTAAACTATGAGAGCCCCTGGCCCAACTCCACTGCCTGTTGAGGTGATTGACAGGGCAGCTGGCCAATAAGCTTGACTTCCTGGTCTGTCTGGCATCAAGTGCAGCTCAGTGCTAAATATAGGGAGAGGGTGTCTCTATCACTGTGGGGCAGGGGGGCATGACTCGGGCTGTGTCCCAAATGGCTCCCTATTCCCTATATAGTGCACTACTTTAGACCAGAGAATGGCACCCTATTCCCTATATAGTGCACTACTTTAGACCAGAGCCCTATGGGTGACTAGTGCCCTATGAGCCCCCCTGGTCAAAAGTAGTGCACTACGTTGGGAACATGGTGCCGTTTGGGACACAGCTTTGGAGAAGAGCAGCCGTGTAGGTCCTGAAGCCACCAATGACAGGCAGGCGAAGACCGTTAAAGCCTCCAATGACAGGCAGGCGAAGACCGTTAAAGCCACCAATGACAGGCAGGCGAAGACCGTTAAAGCCTCCAATGACAGGCAGGCGAAGACCGTTAAAGCCACCAATGACAGGCAGGCGAAGACCGTTAAAGCCTCCAATGACAGGCAGGCGAAGACCGTTAAAGCCACCAATGACAGGCAGGCGAAGACCGTTAAAGCCTCCAATGACAGGCAGGCGAAGACCGTTAAAGCCTCCAATGACAGGCAGGCGAAGACCGTTAAAGCCACCAATGACAGGCAGGCGAAGACCGTTAAAGCCACCAATGACAGGCAGGCGAAGACCGTTAAAGCCACCAATGACAGGCAGGCGAAGACCATTAAAGCCACCAATGACAGGCAGGCGAAGACCGTTAAAGCCACCAATGACAGGCAGGCGAAGACCGTTAAAGCCACCAATGACAGGCAGGCGAAGACCGTTAAAGCCACCAATGACAGGCAGGCGAAGACCGTTAAAGCCACCAATGACAGGCAGGCGAAGACCGTTAAAGCCACCAATGACAGGCAGGCGAAGACCGTTAAAGCCTCCAATGACAGGCAGGCGAAGACCGTTAAAGCCACCAATGACAGGCAGGCGAAGACCGTTAAAGCCTCCAATGACAGGCAGGCGAAGACCGTTAAAGCCACCAATGACAGGCAGGCGAAGACCGTTAAAGCCTCCAATGACAGGCAGGCGAAGACCGTTAAAGCCTCCAATGACAGGCAGGCGAAGACCGTTAAAGCCACCAATGACAGGCAGGCGAAGACCGTTAAAGCCACCAATGACAGGCAGGCGAAGACCATTAAAGCCACCAATGACGGGCAGGCGAAGACCGTTAAAGCCACCAATGACAGGCAGGCGAAGACCGTTAAAGCCACCAATGACAGGCAGGCGAAGACCGTTAAAGCCACCAATGACGGAGTGGAACGGAGGGAATGACATCAACTCCAGGAAGGCTGCTATAGGGCGTGCTGGGGACACACACAGGGCATCTACATTTACATTCACGTCATTTAGCAGACGCTCTTATCCAGAGCGACTTACAGTTAAGCGAGTGCATACATTTTCATACTGTGGATTTAGTGTACACTAAGACATGAAACCAGAGGTTAGGAGCTACAACAACATACCGGTACTGACACTTTGCAATGTCAGTCAACGTTTTAAAGAATGTCTACACATTTGAGTTGTTCAAATCATTTATGGATTTTATTCCTTAATGTACAATAATATACATATATACACTGTTACAACCTGTTTAATCGGTCAAATATACAGTGGGGAAAAAAAGTATTTAGTCAGCCACCAATTGTGCAAGTTCTCCCACTTAAAAAGATGAGAGAGTCCTGTAATTTTCATCATAGGTACACGTCAACTATGACAGACAAAATGAGAAAAAAATATCCAGAAAATCACATTGTAGGATTTTTTATGATTTTATTTGCAAATTATGGTGGAAAATAAGTATTTGGTCAATAACAAAAGTTTCTCAATACTTTGTTATATACCCTTTGTTGGCAATGACACAGGTCAAACGTTTTCTGTAAGTCTTCACAAGGTTTTCACACACTGTTGCTGGTATTTTGGCCCATTCCTCCATGCAGATCTCCTCTAGAGCAGTGATGTTTTGGGGCTGTCGCTGGGCAACACGGACTTTCAACTCCCTCCAAAGATTTTCTATGGGGTTGAGATCTGGAGACTGGCTAGGCCACTCCAGGACCTTGAAATGCTTCTTACGAAGCCACTCCTTCGTTGCCCGGGCGGTGTGTTTGGGATCATTGTCATGCTGAAAGACCCAGCCACGTTTCATCTTCAATGCCCTTGCTGATGGAAGGAGGTTTTCACTCAAAATCTCACGATACATGGCCCAATTCATTCTTTCCTTTACACGGATCAGTCGTCCTGGTCCCTTTGCAGAAAAACAGCCCCAAAGCATGATGTTTCCACCCCCATGCTTCACAGTAGGTATGGTGTTCTTTGGATGCAACTCAGCATTCTTTGTCCTCCAAACACGACGAGTTGAGTTTTTACCAAAAAGTTGTATTTTGGTTTCATCTGACCATATAACATTCTCCCAATCCTCTTCTGAATCATCCAAATGCACTCTAGCAAACTTCAGACGGGCCTGGACATGTACTGGCTTAAGCAGGGGGACACGTCTGGCACTGCAGGATTTGAGTCCCTGGCGGCGTAGTGTGTTACTGATGGTGGGCTTTGTTACTTTGGTCCCAGCTCTCTGCAGGTCATTCACTAGGTCCCCCCGTGTGTTTCTGGGATTTTTGCTCACCGTTCTTGTGATCATTTTGACCCCACGGGGTGATATCTTGCGTGGAGCCCCAGATCGAGGGAGATTATCAGTGGTCTTGTATGTCTTCCATTTCCTAATAATTGCTCCCACAGTGGATTTCTTCAAACCAAGCTGCTTACCTATTGCAGATTCAGTCTTCCCAGCCTGGTGCAGGTCTACAATTTTGTTTCTGGTGTCCTTTGACAGCTCTTTGGTCTTGGCCATAGTGGAGTTTGGAGTGTGACTGTTTGAGGTTGTGGACAGGTGTATATTTATACTGAACGAGTGGAGGACAGAGGAGCCTCTTAAAGAAGAAGTTACAGGTCTGTGAGAGCCAGAAATCTTGCTTGTTTGTAGGTGACCAAATACTTATTTTCCACCATAATTTGCAAATAAATTCATTAAAAATCCTACAATGTGATTTTCTGGATTTTTTTTCTCAATTTGTCTGTCATAGTTGATGAAAATTACAGGCCTCTCTCATCTTTTTAAGTGGGAGAACTTGCACAATTGGTGGCTGACTAAATACATTTTTTCCCCACTGTACACCATGGACTGGATTAGGGGTTGCAAAATACAGTTTACTTTTCCAAAATTTCCAGAAATCCCAGTTTAAAAATTCCAGGAATCAAGAGGGAAGAAGCAGGAAATCCGACCGGGATTTCTGGAAAACCAGGACATTTTGGGAAAGTAACCGGAATGTTGCAACCCCAGACTGGAATGTTTACCCATAGTAGATGGACATGTACAGTTGAATGAAAAGCACAGGTTCAATTCAATATCTTTAAAATTCTTGTATTTTTACTGTACAACAATGTATTTGTAGCCTTTTATTACATGTTTAGTCATTTAGCAGACGCTCTTATCCAGAGCGACTTACAGGAGCAATTAGGGTTAAGTGCCTTGCTCAAGGGCACATCGACAGGTTTTTTACCTAGTCGGCTCGGGGATTAGAACCAGCGACCTTTCGGTTACTGGCACAATGCTCTTAACCACTAAGCTACCTGCTGCCCCAGGTAGCTTTATGAGAACAATGTGTATGATTAAATTGTAAACTGATAAACTGGAAACTAGACAGGAATAAAGAGGGGATGGAGCAGGAATATATTACAGTACAATAAGACAACTTTCCTACATGAAATATGAAAAATAAAGAATATTATGCAAATAAAATGATTTAATGGAATTACAAAACTGTAGGTAAATGTAAAATGGCAGCAGCCTGTTTTCAACCAATCAAAAACCAGGAGGTTATTGGTTAATCTACTTTGCCTGGCAACGCCCAAACCCGAAGAAATAAAAATGAATTCTCTCTCCACCATGGACTGTTCCAGAATAATGACCAGTTCATTAACATGCTGATGACTGATGTTTAACATGTCTGAGTGTCTAGAAACACCATCAGTAACATGCTGAGATGACTGGTGTTTCTTTTAAAAAATCACAGAAATGCTCCATATGCACAAAAAGCTTATTTCTCTCAAATGTTATGCACAAATGTGTTTCCATCCCTGTTAGTGAGCATTTCTCCCTTGCCAAGATAACCCATCCACCTGACAGGTGTGGCATATCAAGAAGCTGATTAAACAGCATGATCATTACACAGGTCCACCTTGTGCTGCGGACAATAAAAGGCCATTCTAAAATGTGCAGTTTTGTCACAGAACACAATGCCAGAGATGTCTCAAGTTTTTAGGGAGCATGCAATTGGCATGCTGACTGCAGGAATGTCCACCAGAGCTGTTGCCAGAGAATTGAATGTTCATTTCTCTACCAACATCGTTTTAGAGAATTTGGCAGTACGTCCAACCGGCCTCACAACTTCAGACCATGTGTAACCACGCCAGCCCAGGACCTCCACATCAGGCTTCTTCACCTGCGGGATCGGCTGAGGGGGAGGGTGGGGTGCTGAGGAGTATTTCTGTCTGTAATAA